AACATCACATACGCAAAATTCGAACCCAAAACCTCTTGATTGGTAGCCAAAACTCTTAACCAACAAACTAGGATTCATTTGGGATGACTTTCTTAGTGCTATTAAAATAGCTTTTTAGTACAAAAATTAAAATTTTTGTACTAAAAAGCTGCTTTAAAAAACAATAAGAAAGCCATGTCAAACAAAGCTTTATATGAGTTGCTTACGTTTTCTTCTTCAATAGTAGTTTTGATTGTCCAATCAACTTAGGCTTCATTTGGGACAGCTTTTTTGCTGCTTCTTAAAGTAATTTTTTAGTAAAAAAAATTATTTTTATATTAAAAAAAATATTTTAAGAAACAACAAAAAAATAGTCTCAAATGAAATCTTAATTAGCAGGCAATCAGCCAATCAGGCAAACATACTAAGCTTACCTATTCAAATATAAGGTAATAAATCAAAATAATTTGGAGAATCATTTCTTCAGGATATCCTCAAAATTTTGCCATGCACGTAAAACATAACTAATTAATTTATAAAATAATTTTTTATATTTCATAAAATATTTTTGTTATTTCTAATTCAAATATTAATGATCTGTTTCATACAGTTTTCTAGTTGCTTTGCTTTTTAAATATAAAGCACAATTTTATTTGATTATTACTTTCTCATATTTTTTCAGAAATTTTTATGATGAAAAATTATAAACTAAATAGCTAAATTAATTTTCACACATGCAACAACTTTATTATCAACTTTATAAAATATTATAGTCATCACAAACAAACTTTAAGATAAATATAAATATTTATTCATATATGTAAACCACAAATAATAATTTAGGCTTTGTTTAGGATGACTTTCTTATTGCTTCTTAAAACAGCTTTCTAATACAACAATTTTACTAGAAAGTTTTTTTTAGAAGCAGCAAGAAAGCCGTCCAAAAAAAGCCTTAGTTTGGGACGACTTTTTTATTGCTTCTTAAAACAACTTTCTAGTTTAAAAAATAAATTTTTATACTATAAAACTACTTTAAGAAGCATTAAAAAAGCCTCCTAAACCAAGCCTTAGTGTCCAAAAAAAAATCCTAACAAAATCTTCTAGGCCAGTGAATGATTGGCACGAAGCATATAAATGTGAAAAGATTAAATGTTATGGTAAGATGTTTTTTTTTTTTTGGGACATTTAGGCCATTTAAGGCAAACTCATACACACAACGCATACACATAGACTTGAACCCTGAACCTCTTAGTTGGAAGCCTAAGCTCTCAACCAATAGGCCAAGGAGAGTTGTGTATGGTAAGATGTTGGGGAAGTATAAGAAAGAAAAATTGTAGCAAAAAAAAAAAAATTTTCTATTTTGCAATTGCAGTAGATTTAGGTTTCATTTGAAATAAATTTTTTATTTTATTTTTTAAAATAATTTTTAGTACAAAAGTTTTAATTTAAAAAGATTTTATTAACAAAATACTTTAAGAAGCAGTAAGAAAGCGGTACCAAACGAAGCCTTAATCTGAATTTTTTATGATTAAGACACTGAGAATCTATTTGGGATGACTGTATAAAATCAATTGTGAAATTGCTATAGAAAAAAATATATTCACTACTATGATCGAAAAAAATAGCTTTTCAATGTACAATTTTACCCTAAATTTCCAGAAAACGACTAGAAAGTAGTAGATAAATTAAATTGTGATTGATGTATAAAGAAGTAAAGCAGTCACAAAGTTATCTCAAACAAATCGTAAGATAATTAAATTATACTAATTTGAAGGTGAAAAAGATTGAAAACTATTTCAATAATTTTATACAGTTCGTTATGAAGTTATTATAGAGAAAATAACTTAACTATTATGATTGTAGAAAGTAATTTTTCATTATATAATTTTTTGAAAAATAGTAAAAAGGTAGCAAAAAAATAGTACAAATACATTATGGTTGCTATATGGGAAAAAGCAGAAAGAAATTTTTTCTAAATAGACCCTAAACTTTCTTAATATTGAATACATGCTGCTTGAAACTTCATTATTATTGGGTAAGTTGAGCAACATTTTGCAGGTTTTTAAGCTTATTTAGGGCATCTCCAACCAAACGGCAAATACTTATTTGTCGTTCTTATTTTGCTCCAACCGAAAGTCATTTTTAACGCCATTTGATCGCGGATGAATAGTGCGACGCCAATATCTATTCATCTGCGCCATTCTTTTATCTCTACCGAACTTTGGGAAATAGGCGCGAATGAAGAGAACGACGGTTTACGGTGCAAAATAGCGTTCCGTTGGAGATGAATCACGGTATTTTTTTTATTTCACTGTATTTTGAAGTGAAAAATGAGATTTTCGATTGGAGATGCCCTTATGACAACTAAATGATCATATTGATGATATTTGTTATGTGATACACCTTTTAAAAATTCGAAGCACCGTATAAACAATGCATAAACAGATAAGTTGAACTCTTTTGCCAAAAAAAAAAAAAAAGTAATTAAGAATTATCAGCAGAAAGTCACAGGCTTTTTTTTTTTGGAGGCTGCAGGTGAGGAAAATTAAATATAATATATGATAGTTAAGTAACAAATAACAATTATATTTCATTTATTTTAAAATAGATTTAATAATTATTAAAGTCCTTACGATCAAAGTTGGCTTAATAACCATGTTGCATGCTAGAAAATTTGAGTCGGCAGAGTATGCGTTTCACATTTAAAGATTCAACAAGTACAAATGAAAGTAGTGGGACTAGAGAATTTTTTAAAAATTTGAAAAAAAAAAAAAAAAAAAAAACATGGGGATTTAATGTGCAAAAACTCAGAACCGGAAAAAAATTATTTAATTTTTTTTAATTTTTTTTTTACAGCAAGCAAAAGCATAATCTCAGCAAAATTATATCAAATGAAGCCATTAAGTAACTGAAAGACAAACTATGGTAAAAAATCAGAGGAAGAAGTTGACAGCACTCCCCAATATTTTCTGCTCAAAACCGAGAAAAAATTATAGAGCTACACCTTAACAAGAAATTCATTATGAAAATTGGGATAAAATTTTGTATAGATCTATTTCTCTCTCATTCTCTTGTTCTCTCTTCACAATATATGTGAACAAAAAGTGAAACCCAAAAAAAAAAATCAAGAGATTCAACATTCATGAAAAACGAGAAAGAAAAATATCTAGCCTGTCTCGTATTATTTACCACAATGTCAAGTTTGGAGCTCCGCGATGCTGAACTCTTGGTCTCCAGCGCCGCAACACTCTCCTCTGTGTCTTCCTCCAACCAAACAATATAGTGTTGCAGCGCTTGGATATAAAATGTTGTAGTGCTGTATGGTTATACGGGAATTTTTTTTTTAAGGACCTTCTGCAAGTCATCGACAACATCGACCAATGGAATTGAGGTCCAAGACAATTTCAATAAAATTCCACACAAAAATAACATAAAATTTAATATTAGGAGAATTATAACATTTTTTATAATAGTAAAGTTAGTCCAATTGAATTAAGACATGTTCCAATCAAAAACTAAACATGGGAAATAAAATGTATTGTCATATAAAGAATGTTCATCCTAATCCGACATTTAATTATTAGAAAATTTGGAAATTTGTAGAATTAAAAACTCTAATATGGTATAATTAATGAATTCTAAGGGCTTTGGGAATGCAAAATTTTTTTGAAGTAGATATAATAAAAGTTTATTCTAGGAGGAACCTCAATTCTATTAAAGATGATATTTGTACTGCTATTCGTGCTAAAATTGAGAACTAGAATTGCAAAGAGAAACTTGGTGGGAAATTTTGTGAAATCTTGGGTTAACTGGATCTGGTCGGTAACGTCCTCTGTTCTGGTGGCACTGCTGCTCCTCTTTTGGTCTATGCTAAGTTGGTTTTTTGTTGAGAGCACTGGAAAGTTTTCATGATCTTACTGCTTGCTAGATGGATTATTTTTGCTTAGAGGCTGCTTTTTGGGTTTATTTTGGAGGTTTGGACAATGATGAGCCAAGGTCTACACACGGGCACCCCCTTGGATGGTCTTTTTGCAACCAGGGTGTGCAATTTTGATGGTTTTCTGATGTTGAATGCTGCTTGCTGGGATACTGTGAATGTCCTTGGTCTTTATGCTAGCTACCTTGTGGCAACCAGTGCCCCTTTTAATTGCTGCTGGATTCACTTGACGGCTGGAAATTGATATTTTTTCTTCCAGTTTTCTGGCAATGATCATTTTGGTGTAGCCTTTTTATTCTGAGTCCTTCTAACCTCCTTTTTTATACTTCCTTTTTGAATTTTTGGGGTATATTAGTCTTACTTGTAATTTTATAGCATTTTATTTTCTGAATTGTAATCCTTTTGCATTTTAATAGATGGGCAAAGCCCCAAATTTTCCAAAAAAAAAAAAAAAGTTTATTCTCAAAGAGAAAAAAAAAAGTTTATTCTCAAAGAGAATAAGGAAATAATTTTAACTGAATATTGAGAAATTGGAAGTCTTTAAAAATTCTTAAATGCCTTTGAGATAAAAACTTAAACTTGATATAATATTATTAATATATAAATTATATTTAATAAGAACAATGGTTATGAGGATAAATCTAGCAAGCGATAACCCAAAACTATCATAGGATATTGTTAGAAAATAATTATTTAAGAATATTATAACACGTAAAAAATGATCTTTAAAATTATTATAATTTTTTTTAGGGAAATTTACATACAAACCACTTTATAACATCCTATTTACATATCTAACACCTAAAATTTTAATATTACATCCATACCACTATATATTATTTTAATATCAAATATACCACTTATATTTCTTTCCTACCACTCATATATTTCATTTCTACCACTCATATTTTATATGAAAATGAACTATGTGTGGTATTTATGTAATATTAAAGTTTTAGATGTTAAATATGTAAATAGAATAGTATTAAGTGGTATGTATGTAAAACTCCCTTTTTTTTAATTACTTATTCCGTGTCAGTATTCGAATGCTCAATCACTAGAAAAAAAAAAGAAGACCTGAAGTTAGCTCCTAATTACAACGCTGATTCCGGGGAGTAGCCAGAATGCAATGGTAGAAGGATTTCCGACTTTCCTCCCCCTCTCTTGGTAAACCTGAGGGAGGCACAATATCCAAATGCACATGGAAATCAGCAGATCATCCTCATATTCACCTGTTTTCCATTTCCGTGTCTCCTCTCCTTCAATCTCTGTATACGTTTTACTCCTCTTGGGATTCTCTGCTGTCCTTTTCTTGTTTTCTCAAAGACAGATATCGGAGGTCGACGACAAGGTCTTGTTCTCCGAAACTCGTCCCGCGGTATCCTTCTTATCCTCTTCTAGAAATCTTTTTTTTTTTTATCAGAGCATAGCTCCCTAGGCCTTACCACATTGGTTCAATACAAATTTTACGGTGATTTTTTAGATCGTGTATATTTTAAATTGTCTATTTTGATTCTTTGTTGTTACCTAGCTCTGAATTTTTCTTGTGGGTTAGCTGAAAGAGATTCATATTTGTCTCAGTTCTTAGGTTTGCAGTTTTGTACAGGTTCGTCAGAAAGAAGAATAGGTCTTGATTAGGTTTGCACGCAGCTCACCTTGATCTATTGATTGGGAGCATTGTCTATCAATCAAGAGGTATTGATTGGGAGCATTGGCAATCAAGAGGTTTTGAGTTTGAGTTTACCTTAATTAATTGACCTAAATGTAAAAAAAAAAAAAAAAAGAAGAAAAAGGTCTTGATTAGATTTGCAGTACTGCTCCTTTTATGATGAGCACTATTTGTGTTCTAGTTCAGTGTATGTCAGTACGCTTAACGAAAAGTTTAGTTTTCTTGTCTCGATCTGAGGTATGCTATCCTATTTGGACCAATTCAATCGGTTTCCTGTCTGTTATGATTAACGATAGGATGGCCATTGTTTCAGATGTGAAAGTGCATAAATATTATGCCAATCTGTCAGTTTGAGCTTATTACCGGTGATTTTAGTTCCATGTGACAGTCCTCAAAATGCTGATACTGTCCGAAACTCTCAGGTTCGATCTCTGAGTGCTTTACCCAGGTTACTGCTTACACACAAGCCATACTAACTGCTGGGAAGGTCCTTGAACCTACTGCAGCTCAATGGCGTGTGCAAGTAGCTGAATGGAGAAGAAATGACAATGGAGAAAGTGCATAGAAAATGAAATTTGTTAAGGAAGACAACAATTTATAGATCTTGTTAAACATTTGTACACGAGCAACACCAGAAAGTTTACTTGGTAGCTGAAAAGTCTCCCGAGTCCCAAACCATTCGACATTAGCTCATCCAAACAAATGTAACTCTGGGGTTGAGACCATCTCCAACCGAACACCATACCACCGTATGCCGTTCGCCATTTGCTCCATTCGAACTCCCAACCGCATGCCAAATTCCGGTAGGCGAACAATGCGACGTCAATATTGACATAGGAGTGTTCACCTGAACCAAAAAAATTCGCTACGAGATTTGCCAAAGAAGAGTGCATAAAAGGAGAAAAGCGTGCCAAAGATGGTTACCTTCGCAGGAAGGGAGCCAAAGAAGAAGAAATGATATTCGATTGGAGATGAATGTGATACGCCTTAGGGTTGCACAACTCGTTTTTGCCCAAATATCCCTCAAAAGAGAAGGATATCTTCACCAAAACCAAAGAAAACAATCACAAATGAAATGAGATGAAGAGAAATGACTTTTGCATATAAGATCCAAGAGAAAGCAAGATAAAATTTAGTCCACTTCGAGAAGGACAAGATCTCCCACAAAAGCTCTAGAGAATACAAGAAGAAAACTAAGAGTAAGCCTCCAAAAGCATGATTCAAACCCTAAACCCCAAATGGCTCCTTCATATCATCCCAAAACCCCTCCCCAAACACTCCATCCCACCCTCCTTACTATTCCGCCCCCCCCCCATGAGAGCCGTCCGGCCCCCCCCCCCCATGAGAGCCGTCCGATCCAAATGGGTGGGCCCCAAGGGCCCACCGAAATTTTCCCTGGCTCCAGGCGGGTTCGCCCGCCTCTGCCTTGTCCGCCCGTAGACCCTCAGGGGTCCGGGTGGATGGACCGGTTGGTGAACCGGTCCATCAGAATGACTACAATTTGAAGTGAAAAATGAATTTTTCTGCTGGAGATGCCCTGAGGACCAGCTAAAAATGGTTGTGGAAGTTTAGTGTATTCTACGATAGACAATGTTCTTATCGACAATCTTAATCTAAAAATCTTTGATGGATCGTCTTTAGTCTGCTCCCCGGTTTGTAGACTTAAGTGCCAACTTGAAGGACCTGCACTATTCGCAGGTACAAAATTTTGCTAGTAATAAAATGAGGCATATTGTGTAAGTTTGTACTCATTGTCGTTGTTCACCCGTATGGGTGATTCTGTACATTCTACAGTCATCTCATGGATTGTTTCACTCATTGGACCTCAGTTTCATCAAGTTCTAGTATTATGAGATAACATTGTCATGCAAAAGCTTATTCCTCAGTCTTCCAGTATAAAAACTACGGTTCTGACTGCGAGGGCATCATCCCCACAATTTACTTATCTATGCGACATGGATGGGTGCCATTTTCCTAATCTTGCTCCTGAAAAGGGTTGCATTTATTATGCCTTGCTGGGCTGTTACCATTGTTATTTAGAAAGAATCCATTTGATTAATCATTCTTGACGTTTGCTTATTTTCTTCAAAAATAATTTCCATGCTAGTTTTTCCTCTGAATATAAAATTTTCTGGTATTATGGTTGGTTTATAAGTTGGCTTTTAGAATTCATTGTAATTTATATTGATTTTCAATTTTCCAGACTTTCAGAGGCTGCTAGTTTTTTTCTCTTTTTGCTTTTGCAATTTTTTTTTTCTAAATGTTATTTGCATGTCCTGAAAGGATTTCCCTTTCTAATGCCAGATATTAGAGGAGCAATTATGGGATTCTTCCTCTGCTCATGGTTTCCACCCATGTGTCAAGCCCACTCGAAAATATGAAGGTTATTTTTCATTGCTTCTTTATTTTTTTTTTATCATTTTTCTTAAGTTTGAAAGTTCTTTTTTTCATCAAATTCTCTATTTTTTAAAGATGAGCACAGAAACATATTTTGGTGTCCATTAAACTGATTATTGAACATAAATTGTTGATGAAAGAAAAAGCTCAGTTCCTGTTGATTTCCTAGTGCTAAGCCACAGCAGCAAGCAAAGCTAGTATCTACAGAAGCATACAATCAAACACATTCTTACACTAGCTTTTATTTCATTACCAGCAACCCATACCTGGGACCGTTACATAACAGTCAAAAGCAATGGTGGACTTAACCAAATGCGCACTGGTGTAAGTTCATCTCACTGGACTTTACCTACTGTTTTGAACCTGGACATGTTTTCCATTGTATGAGCAATCTTCTGTATAGATTTCAGCTTAACTATTTATACTTAGCAATCGCAAGTGCCTCCCAATTTGCCTGCATAAAGTGGGAAACGATTCCATGGGATTACTGTAAAGCTTGAAGCTTTTATGCCAGTCTACTGCTTTGCAACCTATTGTTTTCTTAAAATATGTATACCTGTATTTTGAGATCATTCTTGATGTAGATATCTTAAGGTTTAGGTTTTCCTAATGTAGATCTGTTATGAATATGACGTGCATGAAATAATGTGCACTTACAAACAAAATCTTAATTTGAATAACTATTTATTACTTGAGATGAAAATTTAAAAATAGGTTGAAATTTGATGCAAATGATCATTTAACTTATTTTTACTTAAAATAATGCATAGAAATTAGGAAATACGGAAAAAAAGTACCATTAACTTTTAGCTAATGCACCTGTGGAAAATCTAGTTGTATCCAACTTGATTAAAAATCAATCAAGATTTCAATCTAATAACAATGAAGTAAGAGGGAAGAAATCACCCAAGGCAGTAGAATTAAGCTCCACACTTGATCAAGGAGATAATCTCTCTAGAAAATATCTAGTCTCCCACTTGCTAAAACGTAGACTTTTAAAATTATTAAGAATAAAACATCTAAACAAAATTTTATTCAAAATAGTTGATTTGGTTTATCATGCTTCATACCCTTTTTTTATATGCATATCAATTATCTTTGACATCCCATGACGACCCCTCCTCCCTTCCAATTGATTTGTGATAAATTTGGCCAACCAATTTTTGGCATTTACATATCCACACATTTCTACTTACCTTTTAGAAGTTTTGTGGCTTCACATGCACAAAGAAATTTCATAATAGTGACAAAAATTATTATAATTTTACTATCATATGCTTTGACTATCCTAGATTATCACTGAAGGATTACTTCGTCCTGTTTTAGAGTTTTAATAACTTTTCAGTTTTATTTGTAATCCTCTCGTCTTCAGATATGTGATATGGTTGCTGTGGCTCGAATAATGAACGCAACTTTAGTAATTCCTCAACTTGATAGGCGATCATTTTGGCAGGATTCAAGGTTTGTAGGAGCATAACAATTGTTATCTGTTAAAGTGTCCCATAATTATCACATTATATCTTTTATAACTTGCCAACTTGTGAGCAGCACGTTTGCGGACATTTTTGATGAGCCTTATTTCATCCAGTCCTTGCAAGGCGACGTGCGTATTGTGCGGCAGTTACCAAAGGAATTGGAATCAGCTCCAAGGGCTCGTAAACACTTTACTTCCTGGGCTAGTGCTAGCTACTATGAGGATTTGTCACAAAGAATATGGAAGGACTATCAGGTAGTCATTCCTGCTTCTTTTGGTGGAACTTTTATTCTATCCAGTGAACGCACGCAGAGGAAGGTTCGGTTTTAGGGAAAAAAGCGCCTACACTGAAAAAAAACTCGGTACAGACGCTTTTTTGCCTAAAACCGAACCTTCCTCTGCGTACGTTCACTGGATAGAATAAAAGTTCCTTTTGGTGAGGTTATTGATATCGTAAGAATTCATCTGAGATGAAAGTAAGACCTAACAAACAAGCTCCATTACATGTGTGCTGTCTTGTTCTGTAGATCAGGCTGAGTGCACAAATTCAAAATGCAAAAAATAAAATCATTTTTGAAATAGTTGACTATTACTGTTCTACTTAACAGCTTTAGTTATCGTAGGAATATTTTGTAGTTTGATGTTTTTTGAAATTGTTACTTCAAATATCATACAGAAGGTATGAGGCTATTACCATTTTAAATGTGTTTTGCTTGGTATAATGATGTAGTCTTGATGTAGAACGGGTATGAAAAAAAAGGGGACATTTGAAATTAGAATTTCTTGCTTTAATTGAGATCAAAATATTAGGAATAATTAAATCAAATCAAATCAAATTAGAAATCTAATTAGATTTAATTTTAAGTAACTTTCCTAAAATAGGCTATCTTAAATTAGGAAAGAATTTCAAATTCAAAATTACTTAGAATTTGAAATTAAATATTTTCCTAATTTAAATCATTTGATAAAAGTAAAGTAATCAAAGGGGAATTCAAATTTTGGGGCAAAGAGGAAGAAGGGGACTAATTTACTTCCAATTGGAGAGGTTCCCTATTGGAAATAAATTAATTAGAAAGGACTATGGATAAATTCGGTCAAAGGAGGTGGGAGAGATTTGAATTGTTTCCAAAGTGGAGAGGAGAATTTTAGGAAACAATTCCTAATCTCATTCATGAGGGGGGGCCGTCGGCTATAGAGAGAGAGGGAGGAATTAATGAGGCATTTAATGCCTACTTAAATTAATAAACTAAGTTTGGAAAGAAATATTTCATCCCTTCTTAATTTAAAATTTAAATAGGAATTGTTTTAGTAAGTTTCCTAAAATAGGATTTTGTAAATTAAGTAATTCTTTCAAATTCAAATTAATTTGAATTTGATCATGAAGAGAGTTACCAAAATTATGAAATATATTTTAGGAAGGTTATAGATCACGTGAAGAAGGGGGAGGAGACAAGGGTGGCCGGCGGTGAAGGGGTGGCTGTGGATGAAGTAGGAGGTTGGGGAAACTATGTGGCCGACGGTCAAGGGAGGAGGAGAAAAGGATTTAGGGAAAGAAAGATATAACCGCGAGCTTGGACACATCCTGCAGCTGACGGGGATTACATTGCCCTTCACCAAGGAACTTCAGGCCACGAGCCCGAACCCATCCTACTGCTGGTGGAAGCTATGAATTCCTTCCATAGGAATCTCACCCAACTTATCTCCAAAGAACACAAGTGCAAATAAAATTTCTTTTCTTAATAATTCATCATTACATTACACAAGCAAGGGCCTCTATATATAAGCCTAAGAAACTAAAACAAGACACATATGCCCCTAGGGTTTACATAGGACGACCCTCTTAATTAAGGGTAAAAAGGGAAAATTCATAATAAAAATAAAAATTACAAACAACAAATTAAGATAAGGTGGAATGATCTCGGCCGTCGATCGTCGTCCCCTCCTTTGAAAATCTTCATGATCGGATGTCCGCATCAAGTCTCCTCTATATTCGAAAGCTAGATTTCAAATTTGGTACCTCATCAAATTCATGATTGTGGCACTGATAGGAAACACTTGTAGATCTCAAGTATTTTCTATCAATCTTCGTAAAACAGCGAGAAATTCTTCCAAAATTCAATGAAATCCAAGGAAAATAGTAGATTTTATTGCAAGAAATCAACTAACAGAAGAAAAACAAACAAGATAAAATTAATCCTCAATTCGAGAGGATCGATCTCTCCCAAATCTCTAGACGCCACTAGAGCCCAAAGAAAACCTAAATCTAAGAGATATCAAATTTCAGCCAAATTCAAGATGCCCTAACCCTAGGAAAACAAAGTATTTAATGCATACAGATCAAAAGGAAATTCCTAAACAGTCCCTACATTCAAATTTCACTCCCAAATCCGTCAAAAATCCATCCTAAAATGCTTTGTTTGCTTCGGCGGTGCGTGCGGCTAAAGCAGGAGGCGGAGGCTTCTGCCTCGTTCGCGCATGAGCCGGTCCTGCGTGGACTGGCTGGACCGATTTAACTGGCACATCTTTGAAAAAGTGGGCTGAGTAAGATTTTCCAGGTTGCGGCTATTGGCTGCAATTGGTAAAACTTGCACTCGGATAATAACACAATATAAACAAGGATTATCGATCCTGGGCGATTACACATCTGAAGCATTGCTGTTCCATCATGGGTCTCATTGCAGACTACAGACATGCTCTTTGGACTCTAGCAATATGCTGCTCATTCTTTGGCTATGAAAATAACTGGTCAAGCATTAAGATGCAGTATGTTCTTGCTTATTTTATGGCTTTAATAGGAAAACATTATATATCTACAATTGTAATCCTTGGTTCTCAAGGTAGCTTATTTCTTTCTCTCAATTGAAATTGTTAAAATTTAGAAAACTTATAAAGGTTGTATTTTGATCAGGTCATTCATGTGCCCAAGTCTGATTCCAGACTAGCCAACAATGACTTGCCTATTGATATCCAAAAGCTACGTTGCCGCGCTTTATATAAAGCGCTTCAATTTTCCTCTCCAATTGAGGAGCTTGGAAAGGTCAAAACCCCTACTTTATGGCGATTCGTCTAACATTCATATTGTTGTTCATTAAGAGATGTCCTGGGGTATTTCTAAATTAGGCACTGAGCCTACATGATGCTGAAACCACAGAAGCTAGTGGAGCGGTTGCGGTCACATGGGCGATACATTGCCCTTCATTTGCGTTATGAAAAGGATATGTTATCATTTACTGGCTGTACTTACGGCTTGAATGAAGCAGAAACTGAAGAGCTAAGAATTATGAGGTAATCCTTGCAACTTAGATGATTATTCTTACTGATGCATCGCTGAACATGTCTTTTCAGTTTATTCAATTTTTTTCTCTTGAAGGGAAAATACAAATCACTGGAAGATGAAGAAAATTAATTCAACTGAACAGAGAAATGAAGGGTTCTGCCCTCTAACACCAAAGGAAGTAGGAATTTTCTTGCAATCTCTAGGTTATCCTTCATCAACCTGGATTTACATGGCTTCTGGTGAAATATTTGGCGGTCAAACTTATCTGGAAGATTTGAGATTTCGTTTCCCAAACTTGGTTTTTAAGGTTTTGTTAATCGGTTGTTAATTTGTATATTCCTGCTGGGGGATTCAAGCATGTGAAGTTAACTCAAACAACAAAGTGATTGATATATGCAGGATACAATAGCAACAAGTGAAGAATTGAATATATTTGCCAGTCATGCAACACAATCTGCTGCTCTAGATTATATGATATCAGTTGAAAGTGATGTATTTGTTCCATCATATTCTGGGAACATGGCTAGAGCTGTTGAGGGGCAGCGAAGGTTTCTCGGGCACCGTACCACAATTAGCCCAGATAGGTAATACTTATTTAAACTTCTAGATTATGTTACAAGTTAGTGTAAAGGTTGTGCTCATACATTTCCTTCGCTATCCTTAATACTTACATAATCAGACAACATTTTAATTAAAAAAATGTGTTAGTTTTTCTTTACAACAACAACAACATGAAGCCTTTATCCCACTATATGAGGTCGGCTACATGAATCATTTTTCTCCATTATGTCATGCTAAGAGTCAAATTCTCATTTAAATCTAATAAAGAAAGGTCATTTCTAATATTTTCTAATCAAGTCGTTTTTAGGTCTACCTCTACCTTTCTTAACATAAGTCAAATTTAATATATCTACTTTCCTAATCGGGTCATCGGAAGGCCGCCGTTTTATATGACCAAACCATCTAAGACGACTCTCTTGGAGCTACTCCAACTTTTTCACGTATATGCTCATTTCGTATCCTGTCTCTAAGAGTAGAGCCACTCATCCACCTGAGCATCTTCATCTTTGCAACACTTAACTTAATATTATGCTTCTCTTTTAATGGTCAACATTATGCACCACAAAGCATTGCAGGTCGTGCCACAATCTTATAGAATTTTCCCCTTAACTTCGAGGGAGACTTTTCTATCACACAATAAGCCAGATGCATTCCTCAACTTCAATCATCAAACTTGAATTCTACTAATAATATTCTCATCGTTTTCACCATCACTCTAAACAATAAACTCAAGATATCTAAAACGAGTATTCTTATCAATGATTTGATCGCCCAAAGTCACAATTCCACCACTATATCTATTATTACTAAAATTACACTCCATATATTCAGGTTTAGATGTACTCAATTGAAAGCCTCTAGACTCTAAGGTTGACTTCCATAATTCAAGTTTATCTTAAACTCCCTCTCCAGTCTTATCAACAAGAATAATATCATCAGCAAAAAGCATACACCAGTGTACAACCTCTTGCAAATGTATAGTGAGAACATTCATGACTAAAGCAAGAAGATATGAGCTTAAGGCTCATCTTTGATGTAATCCAACTGAAATAGGAAAATATTCGATCAAACCACCTTGTGTTTGAACACAAGTAACAAATATTGCATACATATCCTTAATGACTTGAATATAAGCATTATCAACCTCTTTATTTTCTAGAACTGTCCATAGCATTTCTCTTGGATCTTTATCATATGTTTTCTCTAAAACAATAAATATTATATGTAGATCCTCCATATTCTCTCTATACTTCTCCATCAAACTTCTCATTAAATGTATAGCTTCCATTGTAGACCTACCCGACATGAATCCAAATTGATTTTGAGAAACATTAGTATCATGTCGCAACCTGTGCTTCATAACTCTCTTCCATAGTTTTAAAGTATGACACGTTAACTTAATTTCTCTATACTTCGCACAATCTTGTGCATCATATTTATTCTAAAATTAGGAATTAACACATTCATTCTCCTCTAATCTGACATCTTTTTATTCTTCAAAATAATATTAAAAAGTTTAGTAAACCAATAAAGTCCTCTCCTAAGCATTTCCACACCTCTATTGAAATATCATCAGGTTTAACAATTTTTACACACTTCATTTTTTTTTAAACTTTTCTAATTTTGGTTTTACTAATTTGTCGTTAAAAATATAAATTTTTATTTTTATTTAGGGTTCTAAGGTCACTAAAGAGCAATTGCATTCTCACAATCTTCACTGAAAAGTTTAGCAAAATATTTCATCCATCTTTGTTGAATATTCTCTTCTAATAAAAATACTTTTTGATCTTTATCTTTAATACACTTCATTTGAACTAAATCCTTACCACTCATATCTCTTTGTTTGGTTAACTTACATATATATTTTTTGCTATTCTTAGTATCTAATTTATTTTATATATCCTAAAAATATAAAATCTTTGTATCACATATTATTTTTTTAGACTCCTTATAGAACTCTTTATATCTTTTCCAATTATCAAAATTTTTACATCTGAATTAATTTTTATAACAAATCTTCTTATTTTTATCTTTTCTTGCACATTTTGATTACACCATCAATTACTTGTATTATTAGAAAATTTTCTCTTTGATACTTCAAGTACATGTTTTGTAACATTTTTAATATCACTAGCTATTTTTTCTCACATAACATTAGCTTCTTCATGCACAGACAAAATCTTAATATCTATAATCTTACTCACAAAATATTTTTGTCAATATTCTTTAAATGTCCTTATCTAATCCTATAACAATAGTTTAATTAATTTTTTATTTTTGCCCCTTTTTCTTAAAGTTTAAAACTAATAAACGATGTTTGGTACATAAACTTTCACTAGGAATCATTTTATAATCTTTGCAATTTAAATGGTCTTTTTTCTTATAAGAAAATAATTAATATGAGTTTTATGTATCCATTCTTATAAGGGATGAGATGCTCATATCTTTTCTTAAATAAGATATTAGCAATTATAAAATCATAGGCTAAAAGAAAATTTAATACAATCTTATCACCTTTATTAGTCGCTCCAAAGCCACTATGAATGCTTTAAAAATCATCAACTTCTCTACCAATATGACCATTTAAATCTCCTCCAATAAAAACTCTTTTTTTTAAGAGGTATCATTTGTATTAGTTCTTCTAGGTCATTACAAAATTTTAATTATGAATACATATTCAAACTTACTTGAGGAGTATAAACACTTATAATATTAATAATCTTAGCATCAATAATAATCTTTAAATATATAATTATATTATTTTTTACAATATTATCTTTTAAATTTTTATCTATAATCATACCAACACAATTTTTAGTATGACTCTTACCTGAATACTATAGTTTAAACTCTAAACTATTAATCTCCATAGTTTTCTCTCCAATCCATTTAGATTTTTTGAATGCATAGAATATTTATCTTCCTATGAATTATAAAATTTATTAATTCCATTAATTTACTTATATGAGAACTTATAATTCAAATTCTTATCCAAAGAAAAGCTCAAAATAGCCCTCGAATATTAGCAAGTGACCAATTTAGTTTGAGAATATCACAATACTCAAGTTTGGTTCCTCCACTATTGAAAGTTGATCCCAAATAATGTCAAGCTTTAATTTCACTGTTAAAGTTAACATCAAAAGTCAAAATTGATGATATTTTAGGCAATGTAAGTGTGTGAACTGAGGAGTTATGTTTCTTTTATTGTTTGTGTGGTATTTCTTTTATGATTACATAAAATTGCAAGTGTGAAATTTAATATTTGAGTGGAATAAATGATATTATGTTAAAATACTTTATACTCTTTATATTAATTTCTACATATTATGTATTTATTATTTCTTATATTTATACACATCCTTATTAATCATTAACTAGTTGTTTATATTTAATTAAATTAAATATTAATTTATTTGAAGTTATATCTTTTGAATTAATTAATATTATCATTAAAATTAAAGGCTTGATGTTATTATTGTTATTGTATTAAAATTAAATTAAAATTTTAATTAATATATCTTATTTAATTAATTTAAATGACTTTAATAATTTTAAAATTGCAAACCCTCATCCTTCTCCCCTAAATTGCCAAAACCCTTGACAACAAAGAAGTCATAAAGCCACATGGGGAGCTCATTGTAGAAGGCATCGACGTGAGCAGCAGCATGTGAGGAACGAGAGGATTGAAAGCCCTGATGACCAAGAAGCCAGGAAGTTGCAACGGAGATCATTGGAGAAGACTTTGGTGAGAGTAGCGATGTGTGAAGAAGAAGAGTTTGTGAGACTTAAAAGGATTTTTTAAATCTGTCCAATGTTAGGATTTACTAAATATGAGATTTAAGGTAAAATAGAGGAGAAATGAGATTTAAGTTTATTTAGGATTTAAAAAAGGATAATAATTATAAATTTTAACTTTTAATAAAAAATTGTCTTCATGCAATATGGTAGTCAACTTCTCATTTGTTTCCCATCAAATTAAATGTTGACTTTAATAAGGTGATCATTTTGAATCTATTTTTGATATTAGAGGGATCAAATTGACGCACTGAGGCTTCGTTTGGGACGGCTTTTTCACTGCTTCTTAAAGAAGCTTTCTAGTATAAAAATTAAAATTTTTATAATAAAAAGCTGCTTTAAGAAGCGGTAATAAAGCCGCCCCAAATGAAACCTGAAACTACACAAAAGTGCTTCTTCTAAAAAGCTTTTCTACTGATGACACCTGCCACCTGCTTTGTCTGTGTTCTTATTGCATTACTTCTGTTATCAGGAAAGGTTTGGTAGTGCTTTTTGATAAGATAGACAATGGAGAGCTGCAAGAAGGTCCAAAATTGACAGAGCTTATAACTCAAATGCATAAATTCAGGTAGCAAAAACTTTTGCATGAAATGCATGAGACATTTCCTTTGAGAAGTGATTAATTTTATAGAAAAATCCTTTATACTTAGCCATAACTATGTTAAATATTGATTTCACCTTGAATCACTTAACTTGCAGACGAGGAGCTCCAAGAAAAAGATATGGTTCCTTGCCTGGAATGAAAGGACGTAACCGTTTAAGAACTGAAGAATCCTTTTATGAGAATCCATTTCCTGAATGCATATGCGGCAATAAAAACTCTGTGAATAATATCTAGGCTTTTTCTACTGTGATCTTGGTTCTAGTTTCTGTTTGGGATTTTACCCGTGTAGTGCTTAACCTTCGAGCTGCTTTTTCTATTTTGATCTACACTTTCAGATAAGCATATAAGGTTCTTTTACTATTTTGGTTATGAGATATTTGGTGCATTTTTGTCATACTTGAGCTATGTTGTATTTGTTGGGAAAATTATATCCAGGTCCTCTAGGTTTGGGTCTAGTAACAGAAAAATTATTAGGTAAGCAATGGTGAATTTATTATGTGCGGACATCAAATGTTGTCCAGAGCTCAATGAAAATGCGTCACATCATTTTCTATTCAGTACCGTACTGGATGATGTGGTTGCACATGATTCATCTATGGACAATAAGCTATGTCCGATGTCCTCACAGAATAATCTCTCTACGCAATGACAGAGGATGAATGTGTAAGTGCATTCAAAGTAACACTACGTTGAGTTCGTCTAGCAGCATTTGTAGTGCATGAGATAACATGCAGCAGCTGAAGGGAGAGGAAGTGAGACGGAATGATGAGCGCTGAGTGCAACAAGAATTGTAATGGAATGACCTAGCAATACCGAGCAAAAACCGAGTTTTTTGGCGGTGGGAGGACGCATCTCTACGTCAGGTGGGAGGACCTAATAATTTTTTCTAGTAACAGGGGGGGTCAGACAATTCGACTCCCCTTTCAGCTCCCTCATTTTTAGTGGTGATTGGCTATCCTTGAGAATAACAAATGCTAACATTGAGAATACTATAAATGCTATTACTATATCACTCGTGAATAGTGACTCCTTCTCTTAGTATGGCAAGAGAAATCCGATCTTTAAAGATTTTTCTCAAGACATTTTATGGACATTCTTATAAGATCAATAGGTACTTATTTATTTAGCATAATAGTATGCTATTAGATACTCTTTTATCAGTGGCTTTAAAATTGTAGACATCATGGTAGCTCATAATTTGATCAATATATAATCGAAAATCTAAGAAACATCACAATTGAGTTACTAACCAAAGCGAAAAGTATCTAGTAGAACGATATAGCCAGGAAGCATATTATAATAGGAGATTTTCAATTTCATGTAAGTTTTCCAACTTGCAAACTTTTGCTTTAATTGCTCAAAAACTTTTCTGCTGAATGTCCTCAAAAACTTTTTGGGTGAAGAGTAGTAGAGTAAGAAGCATAGTTGCTTAATAGTTTTTTATTTCTTTCACACCAAATGAAATAAATCAAGCAAGAGGTGGAGAGGTAATAGTGGCATTTGACAGTCAACCTGTATGTCGTGAATATGCGTGTGGGATGCTGGGAAGGAATAGGAAAGCCGGTTAAGGTAGGCAATGGTGAAATTATTATGTGCGGACGTCAAATGTTGTCCATAGCTTAATGAAAATGCATCACATTATTTCCAATTCAGTACCGTACTGGATGATGTGGTTGCACATGATTCATCTATGGACAATAAGCTATGTCCGATGTCCTCACAGAATAATCTCTCTACGCAATGACAGAGGATGAATGTGTAAGTGCATTCAAAGTAACACTACGTTGAGTTCGTCTAGGCAGCATTTGTAGTGCATGAGATAACATGCAGCAGCTGAAGGGAGAGGAAGTGAGACGGAATGATGAGCGCTGAGTGCAACAAGAATTGTAATGGAATGAAGGTCTGATAGAGGAACTTTTGTTTGTTTGTTTGTTTTTTTTTTTTTTAAATTTAAAAGCAATCAACAAGCTTCAACGGCTCTCATCCAACGTTCAATTCCTCCAAACGATGCTGCTATAACGAACTTCGTCCCTCCATCCAACTCCTATAAAAATTTTCCCTAAGAAAATCCTTCTAGCCTTTGGATTTATATGCTATTTGTAAGAAAATTTGTGTTTCATGATAATGCACAAATTTCAATATATGACCTGATTTTATGCAAATTTAGGCTTCATTTGAGACGGCCTTCTTTCTGCTTCTTAAAGCAGCTTTTTAGTAAAAAAAAAAAAAAATTGATTTAAGAAGTTTAAAGAAAACTGTCCCAAATAAAACTTTAATCATCGAAGGGAAATAAATTCCTAACAAAAATTTCTTTAATAAATTCATCATAAATATTTTGTTCAACAAGAACAGATCCAGATACCTGATTTCTACATATCACATCTGCAAATACTGAAAGTATCATTTAGTAGATCTCTACAGGATTCCAATTTTGTGAAAATAGTTTGTTATTGTTTTGATTGTAATTTAAAAATATGGTTAGAAAACAATAATTTAATTTCCATTGATTTTGTAAATGATAATAAAACGCAGGACCTTAGAAACAAAGAGTTAACAATCCACAATTTTTTCAGCACAATATACCATTAGAAGTTCTTTCATGATTTTGGTCATATTGTGAGGGCCGTATTTATTTATAACAGAGATGATTAACAGATACAATTCGTATCAACAAAATACTGCAAACGTTCACTACTCCTATACTTTGAAATGGCTTTCTTGTTACTTCTCAAAGCAAATTTTTAGTACAAAATTTTTCTTTTTTTACTAAAAAATTGTTTTAAGAAGCAGCAAAAAAACTGTCTCAAACGAAGCCAAAGCTCCTCCAAAACATCAGCTTTTAAAGTTTCTGCATCTTGGTTGGTTTCAATCATAGAATTACATATTACAAAGAGCCAGGGAAACTTGTTCATCACCGCACTACTAATAGTGCTTAAAAGATAAATCATCAAAAATTCCATTTACATCACGTTCAATTCCAATCCATTCAAATTCAAACATTTGTTTCTCACCAATAGAGCGATTCAGCATTGAAACGGAAGAAACTGAACTTTCTGATTCTCTATGATTTACTATTTTTACAATCTAAAATTGCAACAAATAACTCACAGCTCTTCTTTTAGATGACTCTGAAGGAGTTTGCTATCTGTTTTAGATCCTTATAATGCCTCTTCCACTGTAAGCCTGAAAGTAAAATCATCATTTTCTACAGAATCATGATTCAGGTTTTTGATCCATTAAAGCAATTAAAAGGGATATATTACCACTGGCAGTAATAGCGAACAAGTAGAGACGATTCCCAGCAGCAGTAGCAGATATAATGACATGTGGTGGCTCCAGTTCAAACTGGTAATATGTTCTTCCTGAATGCTCATCTACTTGTGTGTTTAATACTTTTCCTTCCACATTTTCTCCAATAACTTCTGGCCCAAATGCGTTAATAACTTTTTCAGGAGGTCCTATCTTTTCAATGGTTGCATCTCCTTCAAGATCTGAAACATGAAAAAATAAAAAAAGCTAAATGAAAAGAAGATGCAGCTAATTAGTGTAAGATTTGTTATTCAATTGACCACCATGATGGCTTATTCAAGTTTTGTTTTGTTGGAAAGGAAAGCCTATGAAATGAAATGAAATGTTGATGAATCTTTCAAAGAAAAGACTGCAGATTCATTTTAAGCAACAAATTACGAACTTCTCATTTCCTTTTCTTAACATTCATTGAAGCTTAGCAATAGAGATATTAACTATGCTTGGATGCAGGGGTGGAACTATGTGGTTGTCAGTGAGAAAGCTTGGCTGTCGTTGGACATTTCATCAAACAGAGAAAGCATGCATAGTAAAGCAGAACAAGGAATTGGAGAAGAAAAGCTATTTTCGTGTGTATAATTTACTATAGCTTCACCTTGATATATACAAAAGCAAGTAGTTAAGTAAATACCATACTATCCTTAGGTAGTTACAAAAGGTGTAAGGAAAAGCTGTGAGGAGCAGACTGGCGGGCGGCTACTCCAGTGTATGTGCAGGAGCAGGTGTTAGTGGAGTTTGCATTCCATTATGCTTGTCATCGTCCCTCAAGGTAATGGGCGGAACAACCATTAGCTTGTCGCGAAGTAATTGCAACCTGGTAGAATGGAGAGACTTTGTAAATATGTCAGCAATTTGATCAATTGTCGAGACATGTTGAACGGTGATGTGCTTGGCCTGAATACAATCACGAATAAAGTGATGATCAATCTCGATATGTTTAGTACGGGCATGAAAAATTGGATTGGAAGCTATAGCCATGGCCGATACGTTGTCACAATAAAGAGGTGTCGTATCGAGGGAGATGTGAAAATCTTGGCATAGACGACGGAGCCAAATCAAGTCGGCTGCAGCTGCCGCAAGAGAGCGATACTCAGCTTCCGTGGAAGATCGTGCAACGGTGGACTGCTTTTTTACGGACCAAGTAATAAGTGCCTTACCGAGATAAATGCAATAACCTGTAGTTGATTTGCGGTCGAGGTGGTCGCCGGCCCAATCTGAATAGGAGAAAGCACTAAGATGAAGCTCAGTTTTTGGTAGGAATAAGCCGTAGTCAATGGTCCCTTGCAAATATCTGAGAACCCTTTTTAGAAGTTGAAAATGTAAGAGTAATGGTTGGTGCATATGTTGACAAAACTTGTTCATCGCAAAAGCAATGTCCGGCCTTGTAGATGATAAATACTGCAACGAGCCAGTTAGTTGGCGGAAAAAGGCTGGTTGGCTGAACGGTGTTTGAAGGGATGGGTCGGTGGGGATTTTTGTTGGAAGTAGGGTGGCTAGAGGTTTACAAGTAGTCATGGCAGCAGTAGAAAGAAGCTCTTGAGTGTAGGATTTCTGAGAGAGGAGGTATCCGGTAGGAGAGTGAGTGATATCTATACCAAGGAAACGGGTTAGCTGTCCTAGATTCCTAGTTTGAAATTTTAGTTGAAGTTTAGCGATAAGAGAAGAAATGAAGACGGGGCCGTTTCCAGTGATTAAGATATCATCAACGTAGATGAGAATATATATAGTGAGATGTTCTTTGGGAAGAAGAAGAAAAGAAGGATCGGCGGAGCTTATTGTGAACGATTGGGTGAGAAGATATGTAGATAAGGTGGCAAACCATAGGTGAGGGGACTGTTTGAGACCGTATATGGCTTTGTGGAGAAGACAAACGTGATTTGGGTTTTGTGGATCTTGGAAGCCGGGCGGTTGGGTCATATAGATAGTTTCGTCGATTGTGCCATGAAGAAAAGCATTTACGACATCAAGTTGAAGAATTTGCCAATTATGGTGTAGAGCAACAGTAAGAAAAAGACGGATTGTGGGGAATTTAACAACGGGGCTGAATGTTTCATGGTAATCTATACCATATTCTTGCTTGAAACCTTGTGCGACAAGGCGAGCTTTATGGCGAGCGATGGATCCATCGGCGAGGCGTTTGATTTTGAAAATCCATTTACAACCAATGACTTGTTGATTTAAGGGAGGAGGCACAAGTGACCAGGTATTTTGGGAAAGTAAAGCATTGAATTCAGTTGACATCGCATTGCGCCATTCAGGGAATTTGCTTGCGGTAGAGTAGCAGGTAGGTGGGGATTGAATAGTGTGGTGGAGGTCAAGTATCATTCGGGGTTTGATAGAGCCAGTATGAAGCTGTGTAACCATGGGGTGATGTGGCTGGATAGTTGTTTGTGTGGTGGGTTTAGGCGATGGTATTTGAGGAGTAGAGAAAGGTAGTGTTGAGGATTTAGAAGTATTTGGAGTAAGTGAGGTATTAGCTGGAAGGTGTATGGTAGGAATGTTAGGCTCTGGTGTAGTGACAGTTGTAACTGGAGGTATAGGAATAGGTGGGAAATGCTGAGCAGGAGAGGAAATTGACGTAGCAACGGGCGGTGTGATGGTTTCAGAATGATTTGGAGACGTAGAGGGAAATGTGTTCTCGTCGAAGATAACGTCGCGAGCAATGTGAGTCTTGCCGGTGCTGGGATTATAGCACCTATATCCTTTTTGTTGTGTGGCATAGCCAAGAAAAATACAAGGAATGGATCTTGGTGCTAGTTTATGTGGTGAATAGGGGCGCAACCAGTGAAAACAACGACAGCCAAAAATGCGTAAGTGATCGTAGGTGGGCAGCTCGTTGTAAAGTAATTGATGTGGAGATATAGAAGAGGTTGGTTGAGATGGTAAACGGTTTATTAGGTAGCTGGCTGTATGTAGAGCTGAGGTCCAAAATTGAGAGGGAAGTTTTGCATCAATTAGGAGAGCACGTGTAATATCTAAGAGATGACGGTGCTTCCTTTCAGCGACGCCGTTTTGTTGGGATGTATGAGGGCATGTAAATTGGTGATTGATGCCATTGTTAGAGAGAAAGGATCGAAAAAACGTGTTGAGGAATTCGCCTCCGCCGGTAGTGCGTAACGTGCGGATAGTGTAAGATAAATGTTTTTCAATTTTATTTTTGAAGTGAATTATAGTTCTTGAGACATCAGATTTATGTTTAAGAGAAAAGAGCCACGAGTATCGAGAATAATCATCAACCAGGAGTAAGTAATAGCGAAATCCATCATAAGACAAAATGGGGGAAGGACCCCAAACATCTGCATGAATTAATTCTAAGGGAGAACGAGATACATGAGTAGAGCGTGAAAAAGGAAGTCTGTGGCTTTTAGCGAGCTCACAGGAACTACATAAGCTAGAAGAAGCAGAGTTACATAGGTTAGGAAGAAACTTACATAAAGTACTAAGCACTTTGGAATTTGGGTGGACCAGTCGACGATGCCATGTGTGATTTGTAGACAATCCAGAGACATGAGCTGTAGCGGCAAGAACGGAAGGTGTGGATGGCCGGACAGAGAGAGGGTAGAGACCGTTATGGCATTGACCTTGAAGAAGTGTATGATTGGTCATCCGATCCTTGATTGAAAAACCAGATTTATCAAAAAGTATGTAACAGTTATTATCTTTAGTAAGTTTGGAGATAGAAAGTAATCGATGAGTAAGTTTGGGAACATGAAATAAGGGACTAAGGGAGAGCTTACGGAGAGGAGTGGGTAATAAACCATTGCCGACGTGATGTATGAGAAGTGAGTTACCGTTGCCAATCAGGACTTGATCCTTACCAGAGTATGGCTGTTGTAGAGGGACCGGTTCTGGTGTTAAGTGTGCGGTGGCTCCACTGTCTAGGAACCATGGGGTAGGTTCTGAGTCAGCAATCAGAGCAGCGTTTTGGGTTGGCGTAGGAGGCACGAACTGCATGTTCCTGCGATGCCAGCACGAAAAGGCAGAATGGCCGTGTTTGCCACATATTTGGCAATCACCGTTGAAGCGTGGTTGCCGGGGAGGCCTGGTGTTGAGACTACGGCCACGCCCACGATTGGAGAAGCGAGTCCGACCGCGGCCGCGAGTCGAGAGAAGGGCAAGTGCAGAATCGGAGGTCGGCTGGGTGTTTGCAAACGAGAGATCCCTAATTGCATCAGCAGTTTGGTTTACTTCTTCACTGCGAAGAAGAGAATAGAACTCATCCAAACTAATGGGATGGAGTGCAGTCCTAATTGCGGTTTTGAAGGACTAGTAAGAGGGAGGTAGCCCATTCAATGTATAAAGCAGGATGTCTTCGGTATCGACGAAGCCGCCGGCAGCAAAGATATTATCCACCAAGGTTTTAACCGAAGTTAGGTAATCATTCATTGTCTTGTTGTGCATAGACAGGGAATGAAGTTCGTTCTTCAATTGTATGACGCGAGAACGATTTGTCGAATAGAATCGGTGCTCAAGAGTTTTCCAAATAGATGCACAGGTTTCTAAGTTTAAGATGTAGGGGAGAATAGTAGAAGAGATTGTAGAGAAAAGAGCCACTGAGAGGTTTTGGTCCACAAGTGTCCAAGAAGAGAACTGAGGGTTGAGGGTGAGTTGTCCGGCGGCTGTAAGCAGGTGTTTCGCTGGACATGGGTTGCTACCGTCAAGGTAGCCGGAAAAATTGTTGGCGGCGAAAAGCTTTTGAATAGCTGAACGCCATGTGGGATAGTTGTCGGGAAGAAGCTGTATATTGATGACATTCTTAATGTTAGAGAGAAGAAACTTGAGGGTGGGCGGTATGATGAGATCGGGAGAAACTGAAGTTTCGACAATCAGTCCCGGAGGCGTAGACGGAGTGGAGGCCACTGTAGATTCTCCCATCGTAGTAGAGACAAGAAGCCGTTAGGCAAGGTGGCTCTGATACCATGAGAAAGCTTGGCTGCCGTTGGACATTTCATCAAACAGAGAAAGCATGCACAGTAAAGCATAACAAGGAATTGGAGAAGAAAAGCTATTTTCGTGTGTATAATTTACTGTAGCTTCACCTTGATATATACAAAAGCAAGTAGTTAAGTAAAAACCATACTACCCTTAGGTAGTTACAAAAGGTGTAAGGAAAAGCTGTGAGGAGCAGACTGGCGGGCGGCTACTCCAGTGTATGTGCAGGAGCATGTGTTAGTGGAGTTTGCATTCCATTATGCTTGTCAGTCAGGGGGCAATTCCTCCCCTCAAAAAAAAAAAAAAAAAAAAAAAAAAATATTTGCGAAGCGTAAAACAATCAAGGATACGAACAAATAGGGGTCAAGCTAAATTCAAAGCAACTCTAAGTTCCCCCCCTGAAAATTAAGGTCGGTTCCGGCCCTGCTTAGATTCTAGGAATTTGATTGAAAAACATAAGTTAATGGCCACAAATTCACTATCAACCCATAAATTCTTGGAATTTATTTCCTTAAATCGAAGCAAGGACAATGAGCACCCATTCCTAAAAGAAAATTAATTGCCCTTATGGGGTGAAGATAAATCCTTAACAGGCTTATGAGTTTTAACTTCAAAGAGAAAAGAGATGTGTTGAGATTTTAGACTTTTGCTCTTTTTTAATTTCAATAACTTAAGAAATTTGAGCTAATTCAAACCACTTCTTGATAGAATTATAAGACATCGGGCTTAAGGTTTCAGTATAACAAGCCAAAAGGTTGAGAAGTCCAAATTAACCTGCAAATCTTAGAACAGGAGCTACAATAACAAACAAACGCCCTTCTTGAGAGTTTGCAAACCGCAAGTCTATCTCAGTACCCCCAAGATCTGCAATGGAAACTGGAACCTGGGACAAGTGTAGCAGATAAAACTATTGAGCATGAAAATTCAGTAGGAAAAGAGAGATTTAAATGAACATCAGGAATTAGTCTAAAATGCATCCACTAATTATTCGAAATAGATGAATTGATAGAGATTTTAGTAATTAGAGGAAATTAACCTCTTCCCATCCATCTGGAACTTTGAATGAATATGGTATAATTGGACTCCACCCCACTCCATGCCCTCCAGACTTTTCATCTGGTCTCCTGTATGTCCTCCAACCTGTCTGTGCATGTTCATTCCTTATGAAGATCCATCAAAATATCGAATGACTAACTACTAAATGAGATAAAATTGAATAGTATTTAGGCAAGGAAAGAGACAAAATGATATGCTCTCTTTTACTATTTAAAAATGTACAAGTTTTCTTAAATTTTCTTTTCAGAAAAAATGAAATATGCGCTTACAAGAAATGAATAGAACAGGAGTCAAGCACTGCCTGGAGAGTTTTTGTTTTTCTTTTCAGCATCCAGCAGAAGATTGATTAAAGGATATATAAACAGGTGCAAAATATGCAGAGTTGAAGGTGACCTTAGAAGAGTAGATGCATTTTACTTAGATTTTATGTAAAAAAAGAACAAACAAAGTAAATAATATTGGTAGAATATTGATCAAAGGAACATTACTTGAAAAGCTGAGTAAAGATGAATTTGCAGAAACCAGCATAAGTGGAACATCAAAGGGATTTGAACTAGACAAACTGAATGGGATTAACTGAGATTGGTAAAATGAATATCAAAATTAGAAGAACATAATAAAATCGAGATATCCCTCTGCATCTCAGATGCACGCATATTTTTTTCAAAATAGAGTTATGATTGATTGATTCTCATTTTTTTTTTCTATAAAAAAGGTGACCACATTTCTTAAATAATGTGACAATTAAGAGCCCAGATTTCAAGTAGCAGTTCTGCTAAAACGGATTTGTAAAAATATTGGAAGTGCTAAATGAAACCACAACTAAAAATAGTCTCAGTTAACATATCAAAGCAAATCCACATAAATGAAACGGGAAAAAAAGGGGGGAAAAAGGCTAACCTCTCTCATCAGGATCTGATAAACCAGGAATTCTCCCAGCTAAAAGGCCCTGCTTCACTGCAAATCCATCTCCTGGAAAACCTAGAACCGGCCCAGAAACCACACACAACCCGGAGAACAACGCAGTCCTCCTCCCCACAAACCTAAAAGCCCTCTCGTCTTCTCCACCATTCGTGAAACCAAAGCCTGTTGCTTCCTCTCCACTAACTCCACCTTTCTCTGATAACTTGTCTGGTAAGAAACCCTTTGCTTGGATCACGTTGAGCTGAGGATTTCTCGAGGAAAAGTAGCTGCCCGCAGTGAAGAGAGCTCCCATCTTCAATCTCTGTTATTTTCTTCTCTGGTAAATGAAAGAGGGTGGCTTTCTATGTTGCTTTTATAGCTTCGAGCCTTCAAGATAAAGGCCATCAGATTATATGAGTGGCTATAGATTTAGCTGAATATTAGTTTTTCTTATTCGAGGGATTTAACACAAAATTTTTATATACGTATATATATAATATTTAAATATTTATTTTACATATAAATTATATTTAAAAAAATAAATATGAAATATAATTCATTATAAATAAAAAAATATTAATATGAATAAATAAAAAAGATATATATATATATATATTAAATAGATAAATAGATAAAAATTTATAAAGTGTAAAAAAATATTTAAATGTATCTAACCACATAATTTCGATATTACTTGAATCCTCGACATTAATCCAAATTCTGTAGTGATCGGTTCGAAAATGGCTGAAGAAATTTGTGGCTTTAGATTTAATAAATTTTTAGATAATTATTATCATAACGTTCAGATTTTAAAAATTTACGGTTGGAAATTGATAAGCCTTTAAAAAATTTATTTTGATTAGCATGAATTTTCATGTAATATTTGTATTAAAGACTTTTAATTTAAATTTAAGATAATCCAATGTCTAATTTCAATAAATTTATAATCAAATTTAGCATTCTAATAAGACTAACCTATCACCATCAAATATGATTCAATCCGAGTTCAAATAAATCCGAATCAAGCACTTGACAGAGTCAGAAACTATAAAACATTAATTAGAAGAACAAACAATCTTTGAATCTTATATGATTGCAAGGGTGTCAATTTTTGACACGACCCAGAAAAATCCGGGTTAGGGTCAACCCAAACCAAAAACGGGTCGGGTTCGGGTTGACCCAGCAACCTGCCATTGACCCGAAAATGACCCGAAATTGACACGAAAACTCCTATTTGACCCGAAAACCCGAGATTGACCCATTTTGACCCGAAAATTGAAGATTGACCCGATCTTGACTCGAAAAACTAGCAATTTTAGGTCAACTTCGGGTCATTCGTGTCGGGTCGGGTTGAGCCGGACCCGAATCGGGTCGGGTTCGGGTCCGAAAACCTGACCCGTTTTTAAAAATGAGTTGGGTTTGGGTTGACCCGAATAGTGTCGGGTCAATTCCGGGTTCGACCCGAACCCAACCCGTTGACCCGAATTGACACCCGTACTTATAATTAAAACAAGCGACTCGACGAGATGAATCCAATAAATCTAATATCACTTGATTTTGGTGCCTTTTAAGTACTTATATGCCAAGTAAAAAGTCTATAATCAAAGCATTCGATATCCACAATCCAATGGAGTGTTATATAATTTTTGCTTAATTTTTTTCAAAACCACCACTAGAAAGGAAATATAAATATTTCCACATTCTCCGTATAAAAGTGGCTTAGACTTGAGTAAGGAAAGAACTTGAAAATTTAAAGAACTCTAGAGCTCTATGTTAAACAATCATTATTTCTTGACTATCATGTTAATTATTTAAAATAACTATTATTAATGATCCAAATTATTCCTAATTAATTGAACATTTTTTGTTTAAATTTAGCCTTTAAAACTAACAATTTCCAATTTTAATTTAGCCTTCAAAACAGAGCATTTCTTAGCTTTAATTCAAGAATTAAAATTAACAGTTTCTCATTTTTAATTCAGCTTCTAAAACTAAAATTTTAGTTTTAAATTATATATATATTTTAGGTGTCTAAGCCTTTCAATCTTTCACTTCTAAGGAGAAGAAACCATCTTTTTGGAAGAGAAAATATTTAGAAGATCTCAAAATTTTGTGAAACTATCACCAGACTTAGCTTTATTTTGCTGACACAACTGAAATATTCTTTTCGTTCTTTTTATATTACCTTACATAGGAAAGTCCAGTAATGTGTTTTTTTCCCATTAACTTCTCATGATAATTCAAACTTACCTATTATACAACTCACATAAACTGATAAACTTTTAACTTTTTTATAGATATTGATCCAGCATCTTATTGTAAATACATAACACTTATTTATTTATACATAAAATAAGACGCCAGCCATATATTATAGATACAGGCTACACAAACTTTTATGAAAAAGAAACAAAGCTTAGAGAAATAAAGGGCGAGATTGACTAGGGAAGTAAGGGACCATCATCTTCAGCTTCTCATTTGTCATCTTCTTCGGCTTGATGTCTTTATGCAATTCATGTGGCAGCTCTTGCTTCGCTTTCTCATCCTTGATATTCTTCATATTTTCCTTTGGGCTAGAATTAAAAATATTTTTATGAAATAGTTTCATTGTTCCACGTACCTTAGAGAAGGGGGCAAAGCACGATCAAGTTGAAAGCTTTTGCTTTATGCTTCGCAGGCTCTTAGGACTTTGATGGTACTTATAGAGGAGATTGGAGGGGGTCCTTTTATAGTAAACTTAAGAAGGAAATCAGGCTTCTCCTTGACTCCTACTTGATCTGAATTTTTATTCATGTGGCAGGCGATTAGGCCTTCGTGTGCAACAGGTGGACCCTCTTAGTTAAATATGTGTTAAAAGATAAAAAATAATTTATCCTTTCGTTTACTTCAAAGGTCTAAGCTTGTTGGGAAGAGCAATACTTAAATGGAAGAATAACATATAATCTATTAAACTATAAGCACTCATTGCTTGGCTGCCAAATATTGATTACAAGGTGCATCCAAATTATATTGTGTGACTAAACAATATTTATCCTTTAACATAAAAAAATATTTATCTTATCCGTTGAGCTTATGAAATAGTCAGGTTCTATGGGACGGTGCAATTGTCTGCTAGGTGTCAAATATTGTAATTCTCAGTTTGATCAAATGTTTAAGTGTTATCAGTGATACACTTAGGCTTCGTTTGGGACGATTTTTTTACTGCTAAAAACTCCGTTTTAGAAATCAGTAAAAAAGCCGTCCCAAACGAAGCCTTAATTATTCGAAATGGGCCAGTGACCATCCACTCTAGCAGCTTGCTTAAAGTTCCATATGGAAATACTCAATCCATAGATGAATTAAAATAAAATATTCTTCTTTGAATTGTGCTGCCCTTTTCAATTTGTTTGCTTGTTTTATATTTATCACTTTCTTAAGGCCTCCTTTCTGACTTGTTTATGTGATTGTTTGATCCCTTTGGCTTTAGTACAGCATGGCTTTTATACTCACTTAACCGGTTGTAAGCAAACTCTATTTTTGATCCCTTTGGCTTTAGTTTGGTGAATTTTTTTTTTTTTTTGAAGGTGGCATTTTCCCCCCTCAATATAATGGGGATCCTCCCATGGAGACAATCAATATTATTTTTTAACCTTGGATAAAACAAGTGTTTCATGGTAAGGCAAGTGTTTTATCATGTCAAAGGTAACTGGTTTATCCTCCATTATGACGCTTGAAGAGGATGGAGTCGTAGAGAGTGGAAAGAAGAATGCATAACCAGTTACTAGAAAATAAGCATTCGTTATGCACATGGAAGAGCTCGTGAGCATCGGTCAGACTCCTATTCAAATATTTTTGAAATTAATGCCCACAACATATAATTTCTCTTCACTACATCAAAGTCAACAAGCTTTGCTTTTAATGTGACTATTAATAGATATGGATTGCTCAATGCATCGGTACTGACTTGAATTAAACATCAAAATATTGTGAAAGGAGAACAAAATTTCACCAAACTAATTGGCATGCCTCCTCTTAAGTTTTCTTTCATTATTTGAAAACTCAAGCACTTTATGATCCAATAAAAAATAAATACATTAGTGATCAATGGCTAGTGACTTTAGTAGAAGAGAGTGCATAACATATATTTTACTGTAGAATATTTTATTCACTCATCATTTAGTTTTTTTTTTTCTTTCTAAAATGGGCAACATGATGAGCGACTTGACACTACAAGAAAGTGACTCATTACCGGCGGTTATTATAAGTTTTTCGGCGGTTTCGTAAAAAACCGGTAGCTTATCGGCGGTTCAAAAACTGCCGGTAAAAACAACATAGGAAATGATTTCCGGCAGTTTTTCTTACTGGTGGTCCATATCGCCGCTGGTTTCTAGTGGTCATAACGCCGGTGACCGCCGGTTATTTACCGGCGGCATACCGGCTGTTTAACTGCCGGTTTGGCCAAATTTTTTCGGCGGCCAAACCGTCGGATTATCGTCGTTCTAACGGCGGTGATCGCATGTAAATCACCAGCGGTTTACCGGCGGTCAAAACTGAAGGAATTACCGGTGGCTCAACCGTCGGCGTATCATCGGAGAACCGCCGGAAACCGTCGGCATACTACCGGTAATTACCAACGGCTATAGTGAACTTCCGGAGGCTATGATTAGCTGTCAGGTATCGATGTTTCCAGCAGCTAAACCGTTGGTTGGCCGTCGAAAACCTGTAGCATTTGAAAAAAAAAATTGACAGCCTCCCCTCTATTTTACTAATTTTCACCCTAAACTCTAAACCTCCACAAAAAGGACTAATTTTAAAGTTCATTTACAACCGGCACTACTGCAGAAAGGACTGATTTTAAAGTTCATCTTACAACACAATAACTCCCCCCGTTTCTCAAGGGTCAATACCACTATTTATGTTCATTGAATTATCAACATCTTCAAGCGAATTTTGTTCAACATTTAAGCCAATAATATTCTTCAAAATATTGTCAAGTTCTGGATTATTGTTTGTTATAAAAGAACATACATACTTTAAATAGCAAACCTACGGTTGTTTGGACTCGGACGCCGATTTCGCGCAGGAGTGGGGGCGAGGTAACTTGACTCAATACCTCACCTATTCCAACATTGAACACATCACATTCTAACTCGAAGGCTCGTGAAAAATCAATATGATCAATTGCATAATATTGGATATTCTCTATATTATTTTTCAAAGTTGACTTGTCTAGTGGTAGACCATTGAAACTGGTCAAACATAAGCAACTTGTTCAGTAGAGCGACAACCCTAAACTCTGTGATGATTCATCGATAGAAAACACTAATACATGAAACTAATGCATCTAGGTTAGGGATTGGTGTTGTCACCACTCA